AATGAGTTCTCCTCCAGCCCTCCTCACGGAGGATTTAGAGAACAGGAAATGCATGAGGACGTTGCAGAGGCCTTGGACACTGCAGAGGACAGTGGGCTCTGAAAGGACGCGCACGACCAGGCGTCTTGGAAGAGCCCGCCCTGACATGGGAAGAGGGCAGGGTGGTCAAGGCTGGTCTCATCGTCTAGCTGGAAAATTCTCCTCTCCCCCATGCAAGGCAAGTTGGAGAGTCACCCATGGTGGCTGTGGCCCCAGGGACTGGAATGGGGGGCAGCAGGAATCCCGGGCCAGCCTTCCGGGCCACTCACCAGGTTCTCAGCATCAGAGTCTTCTGAACTGCTGATCACCACGATGGGCTCATCTGGAATGGAGAGTAGGGTTAGGGTTAGAGCCCCTCTGGGTGCACACCTGGAGAATGTGTTAGTGGGGCGTGGGGGGCGTGGGGCAGGAAAGGAAAAGGAGGGGCACGGTCAGGGTGTGGGGTCCCTGCAGGCCAGTGGGCTGGGGGGCACAGTGTTCTGCCAGCAGCAAGGAGAACGCGTGCTCTGTATGCCAGCGGACCTGCTTTCAGTTTGGATTTTTCACAAATGGATTTCTGTCGTTTCCAGTTTGCATCCTCTGTGAATATTTATTGAGTCTACTGGCCATGAGTTGAGAATTTTCTTCCTGTACAAACAGCCTGACAACGATCCTGGGTTTGGAACTGTTTCTTTTTGGTATTGGGACTGAACTCAATCCTTATTTTTTTATTTTGAGACAGGCTCTCACTGAATCACTAAGCTGCCCAGGTTAGGTTCCAACTCTTAATAACTACTGCCTGCCTGGCGAGGCGGCGCACGCCTGTAATCTCAGCACTCAGGAGGCTGAGGCAGGAGGATCAATGCGAGTTCGAGACCAGCCTGGGCTACAAAGTGAGCTCAAGGCCAGCCTGAACTGCATAGCGAGACCCTGTCTCAAAAAGACCAAAAAAAAAAAAAAAACAAAAAAAAACCCCTAGTGCCTCAGCCTCCTGGAGTACTAGGATTACAGGTATGCAGCACCACCCCTGGCTGGAAGGTTTTGCAATGCTAAAGAACACTGACTTACTCCAATCTCAAGGAATAGCAGGCTGGACACCAAGTGTGACCAGGGTTGGGGGCTCTGTCGGGAACCTCTGCGATGCAGAATAAAGACAGGCTCTCTAGTTCCAGAGTATTTAGGGTTGACCTCAACTCCTTCCTGAGAACTCAATCTCCCTGTCTGGCAGGGTCCATAAAAGGTATTAGTGAGGACAAAGGAGATACCTACGTGGGTGGCGTTTGAAGAACTGGGAAATCGCGTGGGTAGACTTCACCCAGCCCTCTCTGGGAGCGTCAGATGCTCACCAGCAAGCAGTTCCTGTACCGCAACCGCCCGTGCAGAAGCCTGGGTGGGAACTAGAATCGAATGGGGGAAAGAACTCGAGGAACGACATGACTCGGCCCTCAGTATCCCTGAGCTGGAACCAGGCAGGGCACATTAGCTCGTACAGATTCCCACCCTCGGGCAGGTCGTGGGCTGTCCCTCGCTGTTTTGTTTTGTTTTGTTTTGTTTGGTTTGGTTTGGTTTGGTTTTTTTCCGGTACCAGGAATTGAACTCACGACCTTGTGCTTGCCAGGCAGGCGCTGTGCCGCTGACCTAAATCCCCAGCCCCTCCTCCCTGTTCTGTGTGCCTCAGAGTAGGACCCACAAGGGGGCCCTGTGGGCTCTGGGCTCCCTGGGGGTCAGAATGCAGAGGGGGCCTCACTCGCCACTGCCGCCCCACCCCCACCCTACCTGCCTCTGCCGCGACGCCGGTCTGGGTGCTATGGGGCTGCAAGACCTCTCTTCCCACAGCGGGGCTCGCAGGCTGGGCAGGCCTGTCCAGGTGGGGGCTGAGACGGCCCTGGAGGTGCTGGGAGCCAAGGGCAACTCCTTCTCCTCCTCTGACTCCAACCTGATGATCTTCCTGGAGCACTGGGTCTGGCAGGCTTTTCTCTCCTGGGAGGAGGCTTCGTTGGAGACCTGTGTGGGGGCAGTCACAGAGCTGAGTCAGGTCTCTCCAGGGTTGGTGGTCAGAGACCCAGACTGGGTATCAGTGCCCTGTGGCCTGTGGCCACATCTTCTTTTATTTTTATTTTTTTAGTACTAGGGATTGAACCCAGGACTTTGCGCACACCAGCGAGTACTCTGCCATGGAGCTACATCCTTAGTCCTTTTTACTTTTAACTTTGAGACAAGGCCTTGATAAGTTACTACGCTGCCCAGGTCTGGCGAAAATGTGTGATCCTCCTGCCTCAGCCTCCTGAGTAGCTCGGATTACAGGCCTGTGCCACCACGTTCAGTGCCATGGTCATATCTCTGTTCCTCCTCCCTCTGCCATTGTGCCCTCTCCTCTGCTCTCTGCCGTTCAGACCACGCCTCTCACACACAGGAAGCCTCCAGGCTGCCCTGCACATTGGTTCTGGTGTTGCCTGCCAGCCCCTGCCAACCTCTGCCAGCCTCTGAGGGCCCTGCGGTCACAGTGGCCAGTTGGGCTGGAAGCTGCGCATGCTCAACTTTTTCTTTTTTTGTTTTTGGTTTTTTTTCCAGTGCCGGGAATTGAACTCATGACCTTGCGCTTGGGAGGCACGTGCTTTGCCACTGAGCTAAATCCCCAGCCCCCGCATGCTCAACTTTTGACGGTGTAGCCAAGAGCAAGGGAGAGGGCAGACTGGGTATCAAGCAGATCCTTCCTCAAGAGGAGCCGACGACAGCCAGGACTCTGCCC